GTGGTTTATTGGAGATAAGAGTCTCACAGACTTCCCTGTCCGGGCTGGCTTTGAACCTCGATCCTCAGATCTCAGCCTCCTGAGTAGCTAGGATTACAGGTGTGAGCCACCGGCACCCGGCTTACATTCCTTATATTTGGTCATGAGGAAAGTCCCCAACCTCTTGGCTTGAGATTGATTTAAAGTACAGATCCATCATATTTCTGAAATTTGGAGAAAGTTGAATGGCAGTGTACCATGTGTTGGAGGGAATTCAAGTTTCCATTTTTTAATTAAAAATTAAGGGAGAATAAGGCATACTTGAATTTAAATTCAATTATACTATATTAAAGAAATTTTCCCTTGAAAGATTGAAATGAATCAAATGTGCAATATTTTCTTATATTAGTAAAGTATAGGCTATTCTAATCTTTATGTGGCATATGTATTTTGAGTCAAAATTAGAGAATTATCTTCTCTCTTCTATCATCCCTCAAACTTAATCTCATTATTCTTAGAGAATATTAATAGAATTAGTATTTATTATGAGATGGATAATTACTTTTTTTTTTTTTTTTTTTTGCCGGTCGTGGGGCTTGAACTCTGGGCCTGGGCGCTGTCCCTCAGCTCTTCAGCTCAAGGCCAGTGCTCTACCTCTTGAGCTACAGCGCCACTTCCGAATAATTACTTTTTTAAAGGGACAAATTTAAGAAGTGAAAAATAGAAGAAAGTATCTTTTCAACCTCATTTATAGTGTTAAATTTCCAGCATAGTCTTACGAGCTTTCTTTAATGAATCTTGCGAACATGTGGTATAAAAATATCCATGAAAAATTAACAATTCTTCCTGAATACTTTGTTAAAAGTCATGGATTTTTATCAAAGAATAATGAAGTGACAATTTACAAATAAATCAAAGTTAATATTAAGGGCTAAACACATTTTACCCTTAGCTATTCTTCATATGATTCTCTTAATTCTTGTATATTTGACACTAAAATTCATTGATTTTTGACTATTGCAAAAATAATAATGCCACAGTGAAAGAAAATTAGGTAGTTAATATTAGTTACTTTGCTTGGGTTTTTCAGGTAGGTAAAGAATGATAATCCTATTTAGTCTTTTCATAATGTTTATAATTTATTTTTGTATCTAGTCATGTTTATATAGGATTTTAATAAATATATTAAGAAAATATTCTGTAATATTAGTGCCAGTAATAAGCATTAAATTTTATTCAATGATTTTCAGTGTCTATCTGTCTCCTAATGTGTCTTACCTAATTTGGTAAATAGATATTTTTTTAAATAAGTTAATTCCCCCAAATCAGTTACCTTTGGTATACTAGCTTAAACTCATTTGTTTGGTAGTACTGTTCTTAGCATAAGAAATCTAATTTGATTTGCTAAAATTCTATTAAGGATTTGGTAGTAGAATGACACCAACTTTGCAACAATTAGCAGTTACTAGTATTCCCCTAAATCTCTGAAAGAGTCTTTATAACATGAGGAAAACTTGTTCCTTGGCTACTTGAACAAGAATTGATTCTTGCCATGAAAGCATTTAGGCCTAATATCTTTAAAGAGTATCTCTTATTTTGTTAGTTTATTATTGTACTACAATAAATATTTTAGCCTTTTCTTAAGTCAATTTTAGACTTGCAATTTTTTTTACAGAAAAGTATCTAGGATAATCAAGATTTAAACATTTTGTAATAGATTTTTTAGGCTTAATAGTTTCTTGATGTTCTCTTTTTAAAGATTTGTTTCTATGATTATAGTTTACATAACTAGAGTTTGTTTGTATCTTCTTTTAATTAGATTTGCTAACAATTTATTTTCTTGAGCTTTATGGAGAACCAGCTTTTCATAGTGAAAGATAAATCTTGGATTTATACGTCTATTTTGCATTTTCATTTTGTATTTCAATAATGATGCTGTCCTTTTTTAAAAAAATTACCAACTGCTCCCCCTTGTATTCTTGATAATTATTTTGTTTTGATGTTCCTCTGTATTGGTTTGATGTTATTTCATCTTTATCCATGCTATTTTAATAGTTAATGTGAAGTTTAGAATTTTTGTAAGAACACCTTCAATCATATTCTATATATTTTGATGTCTTCTGATAGTGTTACTACTAGCTTATGACTAGACTTTTGAGGGTTTTTAAAAAATTAAAATAGTGTTACTTATGGGAAACTTCTTAGTTTTGCTTTCATTTGGTATTTTTATTTATTTATTATATTGATTTTTGAATAGCAATTCACTGTGCTCAAAGATGTTTGCCTACAAAATGATTTTCATTATTTGGAATAGAATTTAGCTGTCTAAATTATGATTCACTTCTAGAAATATTTCATGCACTTGGAAAAATAATCTTTCATATATCAAATGATATGGACTATTGGTATCCCATTTGTGGGCTGAAGCCTTGCCCCTAACATGACAGTGTTTGGAGATCAGGACTTAGAGAGACAATTAGTTTTGATGAATTCATTAGGGCAAGGTCCTTAGGATGGAATTTATAGTCTGCTTAGAACTGACACTGAAGATTATCTCCTCCCTCTCTCCCATGTGAAGACATATCAAAAAGATGGCCAAGCTGGCTGCTGGTGGCTCATGCCTGTAATCCTAGCTACTCAGGGGGCTGAGAGCTGAGGATCATAGCTTGAAGCCAGCCCAGACAACAAAGTTTGTGAGACTCTTCTCACCACCAAGATGCCAGAAGTGGAGTTGTGCTTCAAGAATAGAGTGCTAGCCTTGAGCAAAAGCAACTCAAGAATGTGTCTAGGACCTGAGTTCAAGCCCCAACAACAGCAACAAAAACATAGCTTGTCATCTGCAAGAGAGAAGAGCCCACACCAGGAGCCAAATTTTCTCATCATTTCAATCTTGGATTCCCCAGCCTTCTAGACTTGAATGGTTAGAACAAACTTTCTAAAATAGTGAGGAAATAAATACTTTTTCCATTGTTTGTACACCCAGTGTATGGTATGTTGTTATGATAGCCAGAGAGCCAAAAATATTGTGTACTGATTATTTCTAATTGCTCTATTATTTCGTTCCTATTTGTTTCCTCTGCAAATTAAGAGCTGTGTTCAAGTCCTAATATTAAGAATCTGTTGGAAGAAAATAAAGAGTATAAAGAGTATAAAGACATTCCACTAGATTCTAGATCCCTATCTGGAAGACTGGAAGAAGCATTTATGCTGACAATGCTGTTAACAACCTGCCCTCAGGTTGCACAGGATAAGCCCCAACTATACTAGTCACAAGTCCAAGTATAACTGAATTACATGCATGTTACCAAGTTTATACTTTTAAGGGGTGCTGACCTAATTAAGACCCAAAGATTCTCCTGGACAAACAGTAGACAAGAAACTAGACAAAAACAGAGCTGGAAACATGCAAATGAATTAAAAAATAAGGACTTTTAGATATGTTCTAGGAGGAGACCCAGGTAAATTCATGAAGGCTGAAAAACTGGGAGTAATTTGTCTATTGACTAAGCCAGAAGTGGAGATGTAGTTCAAGTGATAAAGCACCAGCCTTGAGTGAAAATGCTCAGGGATAGTGCTCAGACTCTTAGTTCAAGCTCTAGGACCAGCATACATTCACAAAAAAAAATTTCATAAAGAGATAAAGAAATAATTAAATGTGGTAGACAATCATAACATTAAAAGGCTGCAAATTCAAATGCCATCCATGTGCAATTTATAGTCAGATTGTAGTTATAATTTCTCTCTCTTAAAAAATCTCAACTAACAAATTTTGTCCTCTAACATTGTTTAAACGTTTTGCAATAGAAAGTGGCAAGAACTACACTCTTATCAACTTAATTACTTTGACTTCTGTGTCTCCTTTTCCAACTGTTGTTCATACCTGTCTATACCAGGCTGGGTCATTACTTCATTTGGTGAAAAACACAGTTTTAATATATCTAGAGCCAAGAAAAAAGTGGATTTTGTTATTTATTTATTTATTTGTTTTTGTCAGTCATGGTACCTTAACTCTGGGCCTGGGTGCTGTCCCTCAGCTCTTCAGCTCAAGGCTAGCACTCTACCACTTGAGGCACAGCGCCATTTCCGGCTTTTTCTGCTTAAGTGGTGCTGAGGAATCAAACTCAGAGCCTCATGTATGCAAGGCAAGCACTCTACCACTGAGCCACCTTCTCAGTCCCTGGATTTTGTCTTTCTAGTAATCAAGAATCTGGGAGAAACAGTCCAGCACTTGGAATTCAATGAGGAGAATGGTTATTTAAAAAACAACAACAACAACAACAGATGACAAATCAAGACCACTTACAATGAAGTAAAGGAAACTTTGGAACAATTTCATACTGCTTCAAACAATCTAACTGAAAGTAGATATGTGTCTATCTTCACTTCCATTGTTTTATTTAGTTAAAAAAATGGAATTCTTTAGACCAGGAGAAAATAAATTCTTTCCAAATAAATGCTATAATATTTCAAGCTATGGAACATACTATGACAGAAAGGGGACTATTATGTAAGTATTAGAGGAAAGGTATATATTGATCTCAAAGGACAAAAGAGAATTTGCCTAAAATGCTCATAATAGTCATGAATTACAATTTTATGTTTGAAAAATTATTTACAAAGTCTCTATGTAGTTAGCTTAATTCCTATCTCCAATCCATCCAATAAATATTCATAGTGTTCTTCATAAATGCGCCTTTGGTTTGGAGAAAGTGTAATAAAACATGATTTTTTTTTCTCTCAGAACTGCAATAAAGGAGGAAACAGCGACATTACAGTGTAATCAGCTTTGTGATCAGAACGCTTAATTATAATGTCAGGTGGCCCTGTTTGAAGCCTGTCTGAAGTCACACAGCCAGCTATGAGCATTATAAAGACAAGAATTCTGATTTCTTGATTCTGTGTTCACTCTGATTTCTACTACAACAATACTTCCTGTCACATCCTATTAAATCCAAGCAAATTAGTAGGAGCTCTGCTTTCAAAGTAAGAGTCATCACAGATTCATTTGAAAGTGGCCAAACCTGGTCGCAGTTGGATGGATACTTCTTCTGGAGTCACTTGAGTGTTAATTTCATTTTCACTTTCTACTATTACATGCACAGATGGGTTCTCTATGGAATCAGCTGAGCAGCCTTTGCGTATTAAATTGGAAACCGTATCACAACGTTCACTTCTTGATTCACCTGAAATGAAATCCTGTTTAAAAAAAAAAGGAGGATCCTGATGTTTTTAGTGCATATTATCTGATAGTACCAAAAAAAAAGACACACAAAGTAAATATTGCAAAGCAGCCATTTGTAGTGCAGAACAAATTATGAGATTGTTTAAAATAGTTGCATGTTCATAATAAGAATACTGGCAAATTTGTCATAAACAAAACTTTAATTTCAAACCTCATTTAAAAAGAAGAAAATGAATTATTAAAGAGGAAATTCAAACCAAGCACTTTAAATGCTGTTAACTGATCACTGTAAAATTACACCAATGTGATTCTTTCTAACTATTTGACTCGAGAATGACAGAGCCAAAAGAAAATTTTGCCAAAGTAGACCATTCATTGGCTCCAAATGTGAGACTCATATCTCAAAGGACTTCATTGGTATATTTATTATATCCTGTTTTGTTTGTAATATGAGAGGGACTCCTTGGAAATCATATGCTTAATTAAATACTGAAAGTTCATGAAATTGAAAATTGGATATCAAATTTCCTAGAACATAAAAGCACCTAACTTCATAGATGCCAAATTGCCTGTCAATAATTTGATAAAACAAAGAAGTTGTGTGTGTGTGTGTGTGTGTGTGTGTGTGTGTGTGTGTGTGTGTGTGTGTTATGAGTTGGAGATATGAAGGTTCCAGCTCAAATTCTCCTGACTTTGAACTCAATCTAAAATTTCAATATCATTTAGCTTGGAATTAATGGAATAAGCTTAAAATTTCAATTTATTTTGGCTGAAAATAAAATAATACTTCTAGTTTTCACTTAACTATTCAAGGTTTTTTCCTAAGGGTAGAAAACTATTGAAAAGTCAGGCACTGGTGGCTCATGCCTGAAATCTTACCTACTCAAGAAGCTATTAACTGAGGATAGAGGCTCAAAGTCAGCTCTTTCTGACATATCTCTGGGACTTGTATCTCCAATTTCCCATCAAAAAATCAGAAGTGGGGCTGGGAAAGTGGCTCAGTGGTAGCATGTTGCCTTGCATGCATGAGGCTCTGGGTTCTATTCCTCAGCGCCACATAAGCAGAAAAAGCCGGAAGTGGCACTGTGGCTCAAGTGGTAGAGTGCTCGCCTTGAGCTGAAGAGCTGAGGGACAGCGCCCAGGCACAGAGTTTAGGCCCCATGATTGACAAAAAAATTCAGAAGTGGAGGTGTGGCTCAAGTGGTAGAGTGCCAGGCTTGAGTAGAAAAGCTAAGGTAGAGCTCCTTGGCTCTGAGTTCAAACTCTAGTATAGGCACATGATAAAAGGAAAATCATTGAAAAGTATGATAATGTATCTTATCATGTGTAATGCTGGTCTAAAACATATGGGATAATTATTTATAAATACACTAAATGACTTTCCTGACAGTGGCAGTTTTGATTTAACCAATTTAACCAATCTTCCTTTTGTTCAAGTGATTCAGCGAATTGGAAACTAATTAATTAACTATTCAACTAAAGAATATTGATTGAATATTTACTCGGGGACAATAGTTACACACTGAAGATATGAAATGGTATGGATTGACTAGTGACCTTAAAAGCAATCAACAAATCATTGAGGAATTCATCCAGTAAGCAAGCAAACGTAATTATCGTGGGAATTAAGCATAGGAGAAGGACATATTGTCTTTAGGTTAAGAAGTAAGGAGATCATCAAGTTTAACTGGACATGAAAGTTAAAGATGAGGTCACTGACTAATTACAAATAAGGACATCCCTGGCACTGATGAGCTGTTAGATGAGATGATGGGGGGGGTGACATAAAAATTCATACAAAAATTTTGTTCCTTCCTCAGTTTCAAACAGGCTTTGCAAACAAGGGTCAAATCAAACAAATGGAGCTCTAGGCCTGTTTTTATATGATCTGAGCATCAAAAAAATGCTTCAATATCTTTAAAAGATGTATAAAAAAATGTGCCATCCAGACAATATGTGACCATGAGGACTGAAAGTATACTTTTCTTTGTGTCCATCTCCAAGTGAGAGGTCAGGTCATATGTGAATTTAAGGTGACAACAAATATTATTGTACTACATCATTTCATATGTTACTATGTAAGTTTAGAAGCTTTTTATCTTTCTATTTCCAATCAATTGGATATGATAAACTGGAGTTCATGGTGGAGATGCCTAATGTCATGGTCAAACTGGACATCGTTCTTAAATTTCAAATATAGTTCTGCTTGAATACTTAAGTACAAGCATATTTAAAAGGTGAAAGGGAATGTGTCATTCTTCCCAATCAAAATTTTCAGGTGTCATTGGAGCACTATGGAGACAGAAACATTATAGTTGCTTTGTGGTTAACTATGTGAGACCATGGTAAGACTAGGAGATTCAGAAGGTGAGGTACATTGTATCCAGTTCCTCAGAGAAAAGTGGCTAATAATTTTAGGGCATAATACCTGTCATGTTCTCCCAGTATACCCTAGGCTAGGTGAAAACTCCTGCTTTTTCTATGTTTGAGTGTCACCGAACGTGTCTGGCAGTATATAATTCATGTTTGTTCTTATTTGCTCATTCTTGTCTAGCATGACATGTCATACAAGGCCATATGCATTTTACAGATGTTAAAAAACATCTATGATTTTTGAATCATAGAAAGGAAATAAGGGTCAAATAGCTCCCTATTTTTTCCCAGCCAGCTAGGGAGTCTGTTATTTGTGTAACAAATGAAGAAAAAGGAACGATGGTTAATTTTACCGTAAGTGTACATCAAGCTATGATGCCACGTGACCTTTAAATGTCAATTGGTTTTGCTGAAATCAGCAAAATATTCTCAATTATTTTGTAATGTCTGAATCAGCATGGCTGTTTTTACCCCACTGTGAAACAAAGGCAGGAAAACACTGCCAATTGGCCAATTAGGTTTGAAAAGAGAAGAAAAGAGCAAGGCATCAAAATCAAGAATGGAATGTTGTCTCTGCCCAATGTGGCCTACTTTCCACTTCATATAAAAGAAAGCAATTTGAAACCGCACCCTTTTAATTTGGGGTATTTTGTGTCATTTTAATTTCTTATAATCCTTGTATTTTACTTTTTTTTTACAAGGAAAAACACCAGCAAATTTATATTCCAACTTTGTGCATCTAAAACCAATTGAGAAAGAAAACCCTGGGCTGAAGTTACTTTGGCTGGCTGTTCACCAGTTGTTATTTTCATCCCTTTAAGATAATAGTCTGAGTATAAAAATAAAACAAAGGGTTTTTATTGTTATTTTGTTTTGTTTTGTTTTCCCCTCCACTTGTCTTTTAAAAAATATTTTATTGTAAAGATGCTGTACAGAGGGGTTACAGTTACATAAGTAAGGTAATGAGTACATTTCTTGTCGAACATTGTTACCCCCTCCTTTGTTTTTCATCCCTTTAAGATAATATTATGGGCATAAAAATAAAACAAAGTTTTTGTTTTGTTTTGTTTTGCTTCCTCCCCTACTTGTCTCTTATGTCTGAGGCTTTTTTTGGGGGGAGGGGGTGCTGGTACTGGCGCTTGGTCTCTTGATCTTGCTTGTTTTTTGTTGTTGTTTTGCTTTGTTTTATTTTTATACTCAGGGCTGGCATTCTACCACTTGAGCAACATCTCCACTTCAGGTTTTCAACTGGTTAATTGGGAATAAGAGTCACAGATTTGTCTTCCCAAGATGCCTTTGAACCATGATTTTCAGATCTCAATCTCTTGTGTAGCTAGGATTGTAGGCATGAGCTACTGCCTGATTGCTTGAGTATTTTTTACCTCTATAATAGCAACTTGCTTTGAAGTGGAAGAATTCTATCACATTCCTTTGGACAATGAATGCCCTTCATGTTATGTTTTAGGATAACTGTGCTCTGAGACTCCCTTTGAAACTACAAAAAAAATTTTTTTTTGAAACGACAAAATTTTTAATTGACTTTTTACTTCTGGTCAACTTTCAAAATTATATAAACAGGATTATTTCATAGCTACTTTTTTCTCATTATGAAGATTAAAAAAATCTTTTTCATCCTTTCTTTTCCCTCCAGCCATGCTGCCTAAGAAACCAGAGACATTTGTCATATCTTAGAATGAATGACATGTGATCTTCTAACACTTTCTAACACAGCTTGCTTTCCAATGGTGTCTGGTCAGCCACAGGGAGAGAGTGGACAGCTCCTCCTGTTAGCAATGTGGACAGTGACCAGCACCTAGCACTGTGTGCTTCCTCTGAAGTTGTGTTATTAACACAAGCACTCTGCCTTATTACCTAAGTTCTTTACAGTTAAAAGTCCCACATTTTAAACAATGCCTGTGTATCACACCCTTCCCACATTGTATCTCCCCAATAGTGTGAGGCAAGTGTCATTAATATTTTCCTCTTAGCAAAAACAGGAATCAAAAATTATGTTCAAGGTTTACCAAGTTAGAAATTGATGGAATTAGGATTTGAATCCCATTTTGTTTCTCTTTAAAGCCTGATTTTTCAAACTCTCAAGCCTAGTACACTGAGTATGTATAGTAACAGTAGCATTTTGAGACAGGAGCAGCTAGGTGAGTTTTTCAGTGTTTTCCCTGAGATCCACTATGAAGGAAATGGCCTTCAGTTGACACAGGTTGCTATCTACTCTGCCAGCAGCTACCTTCCACACCTCCTCCTTCCACAGTGACCTATCCCTCTGATTACCCCAAATCACTCCTTTTGGGCAGGATTAACTCTTATTCTCAGACTTATGAATTTTCCGACTTTTGGTATGGATTACAAAGATGGAGAAAGGGTCCTTCTGTACCCAGATGTAACAACTGATTGCTAAATGTGCTTCTGTGCTATCTGTTCAAATTTTCTCCTAAACTTCTGTCATTAAGGCATGCAGCAGCCAAGGCTGGGTTAGCACAAGCCTCAGGGCCAAGTGGCCCATTAAACCAGCAATGGAATAGTGGTTTAGGATCAGGAAATAGCAAGTCATGAAACATTTCTTTCATAGTAAAACCTATATGCCAACCCCAAATTCAAGATTTGTAATAAAAAGATGCTCAAAGAATGGAGTTGATTTTGTCTTGTCTTTGGAACTGATGTGATGGGATCCAGAAACTGGGATCTTCTCTGTGATGCTGTCTGGCCATGAGGGCTGATATCTGATCACTGGTGCAGCCAGAGGCATTTCTAGGGGGTTTCAGACTTCCCATTATCCAGATTGACTTTTAGTCATAACTGATGTTTGGTGAATTTCTCCCTTACTTTAACCTTGACTTGCTTCCTTTAAAAAAAAGTTTCCCTTCCTTGACTACTTTTAGGTTTCTTTCTCTACCTTGAGTAAGCAATGGACAAGCAGGAACAAGGGAGGATGGAAATACGATGGTGAGTGAAGTCACTGAGCTAAATCAAAAAAAGACAAAACCTAGAGATTGATGTCCATGTCAAAGGGCCTTTAAAAGCCTGTCTGATCCAATTTCCAGGAGCTACACACTTATGCAAAATTACCTAGGAAATCTCATAAAGAAGAAAATCCAGTTTAGTAGATGGCTCTTTGGTAAAACTTATTAAATATAGCTATCTGTGATTGAAGGTCTTTTTTTTTTTAAAGAACTCATAAATAAATAAAAGTCAAGAATGCTTTACTTAGAATGTTGTCATTAAGGTTTGTTTCTCTTCAAAAACACAAATCCTGAATCATAAACACTTTCTGAGAATTTCCCAGAATTTAATTGTATACTTTCTTATGGCCAAGATCAGGCCAAATTGATGCAAAGTGTTAAGAAATGGAGATTACTTAACTTCAAGTGTTTTAAATAAAAGCATATGAAATGTCTTGCTTATCTTTACTAAACAAGTATAAGGGACAAGCCCAATTTGGGTGTATGCCTCAAGCTACAGCAAGAATTTTACAGCAAAGTCTACCAAACTGTGAAAAGTTACTACTTGCATTTGCCAATTTTCTCTATAGCCAGACAGAAAACATAAACTGGTTTCTATTTTATTTCAAAATTTTCAAAAGTATAAATTGGCTTGCAGTGTATTTCCAAGTTTTCCTTATAAAAAAGTTACTCGATTATATATTCAGCCAGATGTGCTGTTTGCAAGCATCAAGCCAAATAATTTCCTGATGCTCACTCAGGATTATCTTTCCTTTTCCTGATGCACCGTTAAGGCACAGAATATTAGTGCAGTGAAATCATGCTAGAGAGACAGTCACGCATAAGGAAATGAGAAAGAAAGGAAAGGCACACCTTCTGAACACACCATCCACATTCTGGACCCAAGGCAAGGCACCTTGCACACGATGCTGCATTTGAAGATACACATCTACTGTCTTCTGAAACAGAGGATAGGAGGAACCATTATGGTTTATTTTGAAATTAGGCTGTGCATGCAATTCTTAGCCATATCTTGTAAATGAAATAATATGACCTTTTGTTTCAGTACCTGCCATCACACAATGTATAATTTCTTAAGAAACAGTTAACTAGCACTCAAATAGATACCTAAATAATGACTGGTTTTGTGAAGTTGGGAAAATGATTAAAAATGTGATTTTAGTCAGATTTTGGGGGCTTTGGCTTAATTTTTTCTGCAATAGTAAAGGATCTTCCATATTCTTTAGTGCACTGAAGTCTAGTATTTCATTGTCTCTGAGCCATGTTGGTGTTTCTCTGGTTCTAAGGTTTTCTTATAAAAATGATCATATACAGATATTGATGGACATTTAGAGTACTTCAGGTAGAAGTGATTATGTTTCTGCTGGTTATTTTGGTGTGAACAGAACCAGACATAATGGCATTATTCAGTATTTTAGGAGTATAGTAGTTAAACAGAACTGAACAAGTTAAGTTAATCCAATTTAATTTTTTCTGATTGGATTACATGAGGATCCTGAATGATAATTTACTTTTCCATGGAATCCTGTGCTGGACTATCTTTCTTTTTCTTTTCTTTTGTCAGTCATGCGGCTTGGACTCAGGGCCTGGACACTGTCCCTGAGCTCTATTGTTCAAGGATAGTGTCTACCACTTTGAGTCACAGCACCACTTCCAGTTTTCTGGCGGTAAATTAGAGATTAAGAGTTTGCTGAACTTCCCTGTCTAGGCTGGCTTTGAACCACAACCTTCAGGTCTCAACCTCCTGTAGCTAGGATTACAAGTGTGAGCCACTGATACCCAGCTTGAATGTCTTTTAATACCGTAGTTATACTTGGAAACTACTTGCATTTTTCATCTACTAACTACTTAAACAATTAAATCAAAGTTCAGTATAGATTTATATACACAAACTACAATCTTGAAAGAGTCACGCAGCATTTTATGTCAGGTTTTAATGGATTGACCCCATGTGTGCTAGAGTTTATCGTTTAACAATAGGTATATGAAGGCCACTGGCAGCCCCAGGCTGATTCCATCACTCAGATTCACAGTATCCAGGCTTTAAGTCATTCACAGTCCAGGTGAGGAGAGAACCCAGTGAGGAGCACAGAGAGACTTTTGAAGTTGCCATGGGAACGTGGCAGCAGTTGCTTGGCACTCTGCTTCAGAGAGGTGCAGAGGAGTGAGGGAGGAGGGTATCTTTAAAGATGGTACCCTAGAGGCAGTGACATCTGGGAACTCTCTTCACCATTTCATTTTGGGTTTTTAGACCTGTGTTTATCTCTTTAACAATGTAGCAGTCATTCAAGAAAAGTGTGTACATCTGTGTACGCAACCACATATGGACATGGCAATTTAAAGGGATAGGGATCATAAAACTCCCATTCCTTCGTTTCTCTTTTTCTTCTTCTCTTTCAATTTTCCCAAACAATCTGGAACCCAGGATAAAAGCAGTTCTGACTTGGATGTGTCATACCAGGGTGTTGGCAGTGGGCCCAGAGGACAGAACCACAGAAAATGGTGCTAAATACAAGAGAGGCCTGGCAGTGAGTACCCTGCTCTGCATTTCCCCAGGTATGGTTTAGATTAATCGGAACACATTCTTCCTCAACCGTTCTGGTGATCTATTATTTACACTCTATCCCCTGTACTCTGTCTTTTTGTCCTCAGCTTTTTGACAATGTTCTTATACATTTTTTTTGGAAAGTTCTTCATTCATGTTTCCAGATCTGGCCTAAAATTCCAACAACTAAAAATAACTTATATTATGGGCTTTCTTTACTACCAGCTTGGCCATCTACATCTGAAGAATCTCTAGCCTAAAAAAAAAATCTTCCATCTGGCTTAGTCTTCAAAAACATAAAAACTGCTTATTCCTAAAATATTCAGAAGAGTGAGTGACCTTTGCAATTTTATTCCCAGAAAGGAAACCAATATAGGTCTAGAAATCAAGCAGGCTGGAAAAATGCTATGGTATGAATGATTCCCTGAAAAACATTTGCTGAAAACTAGTCTCCAATGCAATAATAGTATTAAAAGGCATGACCTTCAGGAAGTGGTTGGGTTGGAGGCTCCTCCTTTGTGAACAAGATTGGGCTTTTAGAAAAGAGGCAACCACACAGTGGTTGGCCCCATTTGACCTTATGCTTATTTGCCATGTGAAGGCAGCAGGTATTCAGAAAATACTGAGTGCCAGCACCTTTATCTTATATTTCCCATCCTCCAGCACTGTAAGAAATATATTTCTTTAAATAATACATAAATTACCTAGATCCAGATAATTAGTTGAAGCAAACATGATGGAACCTAACTTGACCTTTACAGTCCACTAACTTTGACTCCACCAGAATATGGAGTGAATTCTATTTCAGTTCAGAACTTGAACAAGCCTCTCATTCATAGATAGGATTTTTGCATTGACAGTTACAATTGTAGAATTGTGGAAGGAAAGCTGCAGAACCTAGGACTTTGGTCTTGGTTTGTGATGGTTATTGGATCCTATCTTGTTACCCCAAACTCAAGATCTTGCTTCTTTAGCACACCTGAGCTATAACAAATTCCCAGATACTGCTTTCTTTCCTGTATATTATCTTTACTTTAGAAAGTTCTGGTGTTAGGCTTTATTCTCAACTTCAGAAATCCAAGGATGATAACTGAGATGTGTAGAGACTTGGTTCTGTCCAATATATACCACTTTTCAGGGTTGACATTTCTCAATCAACACTACCGGACTAAAGATCCTATAAGTGGATGTGGAGGAGGCAGCCTTCCTATTCCACAGAACTGCAGGAAGGCCATAAATTGAACTCCAGGGGAACAGTGTCAGGCTTTATTTCTGGAGAGTGTCACGGTTACATTTCACAGAAGGCATGCCAGATACACTCTGACATGCAGGATTTTAAGGAGTTTCTTTTTTATTTTAAAATATATAAAAGATTGAAAGATCCAACATGTAAATATGACACCAATTATGGCAATTCTTGTTACTGGATAGACAAATTATTAACAGTATTATTAACATGTATTGAGAATCCTCTTCCTTCTCCCTCCATTTATACCCCCCCCCTCGACACACACATACAATGTATCCTTCTGTGGGAGTAGAAATCTCTAACCTGACCACATATCAGTGCACCACTGCTGTTTACAGACACTGGCATTTGTCATCAGCTTCTGGGGTCACTCAGCTCATTTGCCTCCCATCCCTAAGCAGGGAAGTGTTTTTCCTGGGATGGTTTCTTAGCAGCCATTAGCCTTACCCTGACAACTCATTGAGTGTAAGTCTCAGTGGCTCTCCTTTCCACACTGAGGTTGTAATTGCTGCTTGTGCACCCATTTATCCAGAGACCTTGTACTAAGAATCCTTATCTTTGTATTTTAGCACTGCATGCTATGATAAATGGATATTTATTGACTCTAGTAAAAATTTTTAACAAAAAACTAGAAGGATAGTATTTTAAACTACAAAACTTTAGAGATTTTTTGTGTGTGAGAGAGAGTTTATAGGGTTTGAACTCAGGGTCTGGGCACTGTCCTTTAGCTCTTTCACTCAAGCTACACTCTACCACTTTAAGCCTCAGGTCTACTTCTGGCTTTCTGGTGGTTAATTAGAAATAAGTTTCATGAACTTTACTGCCTGAGTTGGTTTTGAAGTGCAATCCTCAGATCTCAGCTTCCTGAGTAGCTAAGATTACAGGCATGAGCCACCTGCACATGGCTGGCGTTTTTGATTTTTTGTTTTTTTTTAATTTTTTGTTTTATGTCTTTATGAATCCTGTGCCATTAAAAATGTGATTCCTTGCCAGGCACTGCTGACTCCTGCCTGTAATCCTAGCTACAGGGGGCTGAGATTTGAGGACTGTGGTTGGCAGCCAGCCCAGGCATGAAAGTCCATAAGACTTTTATTTCTAATTAACCACCAAAAACATGAAGTGGAGCTGTGGCTCAAGTGGTAGATTGCTATTCTTGAACTAAAACACTCAGGGATAGCACCCAGGCCCTGAGTTCAAGCCTTAGGACTGTCACTCACATACATACATACACAGAATGATTCCATCATAGAAATCAGTAAAGGACTTAGCCTGCTGCCAATTAGTACACATATACTAAATGATCCAATTCCTTGCCCTATGAGCAGAAGCTGAGCTGGAGTCTTACTTTTTCTCATTCTGTTATGTAACAGAGATGACCAGGTAGTATCGTGGTTACTAAATGGTTCATGGGAAAGAAAATTCCAAGCATCTATGGTGTTTCCAATTACTAGGCTAATTATTTAAAATTTCTAAGCCTAGCTGGGCACAGGTGGTTCACCTGTAATTCTATGGTGTAATCCTATCTACTCAGAAGGCTGAGGTCTGAGGATCATGGTTCAAAGCTAAATCAGGAAGAAAAGTCCATGAGACTCATCTCCAACTAACCACCAAAAACCCAGAAGTGGAGCTGTGGCTCAAGTGGTGAAACACTACCCTTGCACCCAGTCATAATTCTGAAAAGTAAATAAGTTAAATAAATACATCTCTTAGAATAACTTCCTTTTCTTCACATTTTGCAATGTAAACATTGACTGAAGTTGACTAATTTTGGTTTCCCAGAATTAGTTGTCTGTAATACATGAAAAAATGACCTGTACAGCTGCTTGTCATAAAAAGATAGTAAATAACCATCAACAGCAGGAAACAGCACACAACTACCAGGAAATGTCATATTCGGGACACACACTTCCCTATTTTTGTTTCAGATGTTACCATTGATTTAGCTCATTTTGAGTACATTTAGTCAATAGTAGTGAGGAGAATTAAATGTACAAAAATACCCAAACAAAAGAGAAGAGTAACATAAAAAAACAACAAAACACCCCTTCAAAACTAAACCAAGGCAGCAGAAGTTTCTGTGTTCTGATAGGGATCTTCTTGAAAGTCAAATGACAACGTTCTAATTTGGGGAGGGAAAGGGAAAA